AAAAATCATCATCTTTTTTTATTAAGGATTTAATTTAGAACGGTATAATATATATACGTATCATAATTGTAATATTTTTATTATTACGTAATTATTTTTATAATGAAATTCAGTGCCTATTGTATAAAATAAAATTGCTCTCGTAATCTCAAGAAAATGATTAATCGCTCCTTCGCGGAAGTGCCTATACATCAATTATTATCAAATAATCTATAAATTTCACTGACAATATAATGCATCACTGCTCACGTATTTTTTAATGTACTGTCTTCCATTCTCTTTCCCGAATGTAGATCTCTTTAACGACGATGAACCTTGACCTTGTCACCCTCTCAAGAAGTTCCCTAAAACGAGAGCGCTCGCTGACCCGCGCTTTCGGTCCACTCCATCTTGCGGCTGTTTGTAAACGGCGTGAGAGTGGCTGTCGAGTTAAAATTCAAGCAGCGCTTCTACACTCGATTGCCATGGAATAAGGTTGCTATTTTATTTTCCTCTGCCACCCCCCTTTTTATTTTTTTTTTTACTTCGCCAACCATGTAGCCCCGTAACCTGCTTTCGGGCAGACTCCGCGCGTGCAAAAATTCAGAATGTTGTTCGATACATTTAGGAATTGTGCTTTACACGAATTTAATAATATAATTATTAATTAGAATATTTTCTGCAGTTTAATAACGCAATGAAGCGTGCTTGATCACGTAACTTTTGATATGCATTTCACACGCATTGAAATTTGAGAAAATGACAAATAGACTTATGATGATCTCACTAAATTTTTTACATTAAGTCTTTTTTAGAAAAAATTTATAATTCATATCAGAATTCAGGATAGAGAGAATTATAAATTTTATTCATAATATTACATGCAGTGTAATACAAAAATTATTTGAAATAAGAATTAAAATAAGTAAAAGAGAGTATACATTAAAAAATATACAGCACATAAAATTACAAATACAATTGTATCTTCAAGTTTGACACAAATTACAAACTGTCTAAAAAAAGGATTAGGTAAGAACATTTAAAATATCAGGTTACACACAAAATACATACAAAATCTGTGAGAAATGTAAGAATTAGGCTTTACACGATATTGGACAAAAGTCTTTTATGTAAAACAATTTATTAATTTATTCTACGCAATTATCAGTAAAGTAAGCTTTAAATTATTTTGTATTTAAAATGTTAATAAAAATTGATCAGCTATTTTCTTCAACCCTTATTTTAGAGACTCTATAATTATATTAGAATTTAAGATAAAATTATTTTCATAATATGTTTTACCTATAATATAAAAAATGTTTAAAAATCAAAATACATTCCCATGCGTATTTACAAAAAATATATATGTACGTAAAAAATTGTAAAATAATCTATAATTTATACAGTTAAAATTGATTTATTCTACAATTTATGGGTTTATAAAATTTCACACGAATTACAGATTGTTTGAAATGAAATCGATCCTAATATCAAGGCATAAATAGTAGACCGTTTGAAGCAGCCATTACATATTAGAATGGCAATTGCATTTTTGCAGACGTAAACAAACGTGCTTCCGCAAATGCAAAAAATGATAATTGTATAAGAACACTAGTTAAGAAACCATTGCGAAAGTCACGCGGCACGCGTTCGTATTTCATGGGTCTGCGCTCACCGCGACCGAGACTAATGTCGAAATAGCTAGGCTGACGACAAAAGTCATGACGAATCGACTTCACTTACCAGTAATGCGTATCCACCAATGCGATATATCCCAAACATGTTCCTCGATCCTTCCTCGCCGGGAGTGTTGCGGAGTACGCGTCGCGTCTCGTCTCGTCTCGTCGCACGCGATTCGCGATTCACGATACACGATTCCCCGCGAGTTGAATGCACTCGGGGGTTCTTCAGCCTATCGCTTCTACACGCGCCTCTTGCCGTGCCGACGGCCGACCGTACACTGGGCCGGGTATACTCACCTGTGCTCACCTGGCTAGCGTAGATCCTGCCAGCGGCAGATGAGAGGACGACCTGTTCCTTCCGGGTTCTCCGCGCGCGATCGCTCGGCTCTTCTCTCTATTTCCGATCGTTTCCCCGTCGTTCGTTTCGCGCTTGTCATGCTTTAGTACTTACTTACACCTGTTGGTCTCTTAACAGGTACACAGTCGCTGCTTTTATAATTAAACTTTATTTCATTGAAACGAGATGTCTGTAATATTGAGTGAAACACACGCACGGAATTTCATAGTCTCGTATTTCTTTTTTCAAAACTCAATTTATGACTAAAATTCTTTACGTTAATTATTCAAAAAGTGTCTGCTCGTAATTATTAAGGAAAAGTCTGTTTGATAAAAAAAAAAAAAAAGAGTATGCAACAGAAAATATTCCAAACAGCGATTAATTGTAAACTAACTTGAGGTACGGAAGTATACATATATAATAACAACAAGTGGTCAAACGAGTTAAAATTGTTTTATGTAAAAAATCACTATCAAATTGATGAATAGATTGCCTCCTGTCCAATAACGTCCAAAGTAGCCAGTCGAAAGCGAAAGGGACTAGATATTTTTTAATGCCAATGGAAAAAGAACGAAGGAAACGCACGCTTGACAAGGCACGGGACTAGTTCTGGTGCGGCGACAAGCAAAAATCGAACGAACGCGTTTTATTTTCGATAAGTATGTGTATCACATCGCAGCTCCGCACCTACGAAAGACGCCGTCCTTGCACGCTCACTTGCAATACATTTCCATGCAAAACGTGTAACCGCATGCCAGTAATTGAGAGATAGATAGATAAGAAAACCGCATTATACGATAAATGGAAATTCTCAAAATTAATGTCCAAATTCGTATGCAAAACGGATCAATTGAGATATTTTTGGCAATAGATTTCTACACGGATTGTTATTTCCGGAAGAAAGTGCAGTCAAGGTCGAATATCATTAATCGATCCTATTTTCCTCGAAATATTATTAATATTACTCTTATTATTTTTAATATCACTACTAATATTTGCGTCATATCACAGTATAAATTCAACAAAACGTCGAATTTTTCGTCTCAAATAATCCTCCAAAAACTGACTGCTGATTTTGTATATATGGGTATAGTTATATGGTTTTAATTTTATGTGTGTGTGTACATATATTATATATATACATATATACACACACACATATATAAAATTAAATAAATTATAGATTTTATATATAACATTTCTTTCCTTTTATTTTTTTTAAGTAAATAAAAATTTTAAATAAAAAATTAAAATAATATTGCTATTAAATTGGTAAATTCTTTTTGTTTTAAAAGGAGATTCAAATAAACTTCTCTCCAATTTACATAATTTCCATGAAGCTACTGGAATCTGTATATAAAACCACAATAAGTCGGATCATCTTTCTTGATTTGCTGGTGAAAGTGATTATCAAAAAGCTAACCACTACAAAACAATTTAGAATGTACGCACAGAATCAATAATTGCTCAGGAATCTCGCGTTTTATTCTCTTCTATTTACAGCGTAGAATAATAATGCGACTTTTACGTGGAAACGAGGTTAAAGAAAAGAAAGATCAAGAGAGAAACAATATGTGGAACTTGTTTTGTGCGGTATTTATCTTTGTGATCTAATTAAATACGCTATTGTCTTTTATAATAAAACTTATCAAAAACCAGAGGCTTTCAAAATGCCTTCTGCTTTTATTAATTTTATAATACAATTCAAAGCGCGTGCGGAAAGCCATTTTTATTTTATAGCTGTATATTTTATTTTAAAATAAATAAAAATATAAAAAATATGTCGGATACTATTAGAGAAATATTACTTTGTAGCGATTTGCGTGCGTAGATTTTTTTTAAATGTAAGGTGTATAACTTAAATGAACTTTAACATTATATACCTGTACATAACGTTATATTAGACTAATAACAAACTCGGACTCTTTACTAGAAAAATATTTATTGAAGGCATTTCGTGCATCTATAATAAAACCGGTAAGAAAAAGAGAGAGGAAAGAGGAAAATTTAAATAAAACATATAAAATTATAAAAGAATGTAAACTTATTTACATTCCTCTGTTTTGTGTTACTATATTAATTTTGTTTTACATGACAAATCACACAATCGCGATATTTAAATTTTATTCTTTCTCAAAATATCAGGGTATATATGTATATGTATATATACCCTGCTCAAAATGTTTTCAATCACATTCTAAAATGATAAATCAGAGAACATTATTTTATTTTTATAACATAAATTTTTGAAAAGAAGGAAATACAAACTAACATAAAAATATATTGTTAAATTAAATCATAAAAAAATTATAAAAATTATATATTTTATTTAAAAATCTATTTAGTTATTTATAAAATAGCTATAGATCCAGTAAAAAATGACAATGGAATCGACGTCGAATCGACATCAATTCGGTGTCGATTTTATTGTCACTTCTCACTGGGCAATAAGGGTTTAAAAGCTACTTATTTTAGGTTACCTTATACGTTTGTTATAGAAATTGAGTACAAAAAGTAATACAAAATTGAAGCAATTGATAAAATATAATATAAAAAATAAAATACCCAAACTAATTGTACTCAATTTCTATAATAAAAAGGAACTTGTGAGGTAAAACTCTCTCAATCTCAATCTCAATCTCTCTCTCTTTCTCTCTCTCTCTCTCTATCTCTCTCCTGTATATAATATTGTAATAATAAGCACATCAAATCATTAAGTTTTTTTACTTTAAAACGTTTAAAAAACTGCTTTAAAAGTGTGGTTATTTAAGAAATTATAAATAAAACTTAAACTTCATATTCTATCATCTATATAAATCTAGTTCAGTGCCGTACAAGTAGTAACTTGACTTACCGATGCTGAGTCGATATATCCCTTCTGCAGATAATTATGTGCATTGATCATAATCGACTCAACATCGGTAAGTCAAATCACTACTATGACCGGATTAATGGACAACATATACATTGGCATACATACGTGATGATTTCACTGGGTACACGTTAAGAACGATACCTTACTAAAGCTCTGACAACACTCTGCATTATTTCTGAATTCCTTAGGAAATCGCAAGAAATGGCGGACCCCAAGTACGCTGATTTACCTGGAATTGTAAGTTTTTGTATATCTACTTTACACGTTTATTATAATTTTGTGCATTACCTCACGAATAAACTATTTTATGTCATACGCTGAATGTCCTAGGCATACGATCAGCTTGACGTTTATGAGACAAGTGATTTACCAGAATCGGAGCAAATGCAAATGTACTGCGAGGTAAAAGATGTAAATCTGTATTGTACATAACATTGTATTAATTAAATTAATGAATTGACTTATTCACACAGGATGAACCTGATAGCTCTTGCGTGGAACAGCTACACATCAGTGCCAAAGAGGCATTCAACAAGTTCAAGGGCAAGCAAATTGTTGGAAAACCGGTTGATTTCTCAGATCGTCTATCTAACAAGCCAAGAACAGGATATAAGTGAGCTATTCTAACAATATGTTTAACAATAAAAAAAAAATATATATATATCACAAGTATTTCCAGATTCGGCGATTGGGAACTTGCTGGCGAGGGTGAGAAAGAGACTCCTCTCCAAAAGTTTCAACGACTCCAATGTGAAATTAAGGAACTATACGAAGAATTGAATGAACTGAAGGTAAACTATCAATAAAATATGTTAAAATTATTCTCTGTGGTTCATAATAATATCCTAAGAATTAATATAAATTGATAATGTATGCAGGAAAAATCTAAAGATGAGGAAGAGATCAAATCTGTGAGCGAAATCATTGTTCAAACACAGCAGATAGAGATACAATTGGTTTCTCTAAAGTTAGAAGAGTGTTTAGGACCTAATGTAATTGCAAATCTATCAGATCCACAAGGCACTGTACTTAAGTATGTAAAATCAATTATATACAAATGTCATTTTTTCAGAATTGTATTATAGAATGGCATTAATTTTATAGGCAATTGATGTCACAGATAGAATTGTTCAAACAAACCGGTATGCCTCCTACCAAGTCATCAGAGAGTAAAAAGACTGACGAGTCGATTGAGCCTGGTATTCTTAAGTATCAGATGATGTATTTGCCAGAAAAGGCAAGGATGCAAGAAGCTGCTAGGATTGCGCAGCTTGAGCAAAGACTTTACTGTCTAGAAAATATTATAGGAACAAGTAACGACAAGCTTTCGAAATTCTCGCAGGTGGGATTTCTTACACATACATATTTTAGATAGATTTGTAATTTCTTTTTTCTTCACAGAATCTTAAATGTCAGGGGATTATGGAAGCTGTGCAACAATTAGAAGCAAAGGCTTCATTATTAGATGTCAATCAATTAGACACCATCGAAACGAGATTAGGTACTTTGATTTACCGAATGGATAGTATTGCGCAGAAAAGAGCAACAACGGAACAAGAAACGGAGCAAGAACAAAAAGTAGGAAACCAAATGAACGTTAAAAATTTTACAATACATCTATAATAAATAATTTATATTTTTCGGATTCTTTCTTACAGATCTCAGAAATGTATGATATAATGAAAAAAATGGATGCTATATCACAAATATTACCGCAAACAGTAGAAAGATTATTGGCATTGAGTGACATTCATCAACAAGGTACAATTAATCAACAATGACGAGTGTACAATTGTCTTAAAACAATTTCTAAGAAAACGTATTGCATTTCAGCTGCTGCTTTCAGTAAATCTTTAATAAAATTAGAGGAACTGCAAGTAGAAATCTCGTCGCAATCAGAAAGTAACAAATCTCTACTGAAGGGAGTCCAGGAAAGTTTTGCTTCTAATATGGAAGTTATAAAAAGCAACTTAGCATTGCTCGACGATCGTATCAAAAAACTGAAATTAAAGTAAAGATATTCGATCTAGTCATAAAACATAACTAGATCAATTTATGAAAATTGCTTTACATATTCGGAGTCTTTACATATTTCTATTAAGTCAAGTTATTGTTTATTTAATGATTTATAAATTCCATATATATTTTGTTTTATACCACGATTATTTTGTTACTGTTCTTAAATATCTTGCTATGGTATATTTGACTTCTGTAGTATAACTACTGAAATAAAAGCCTACTAAAATTATTTAGATATGATGCACGCAAACATAAAAAATATAATTTCATGTAATAAAACATGCAAATTAAAATAAAACTGGAATTTCAGTAAAAAAACTTACAAGGTTTATTGAATATTTCATATATATATATATATATGTATATATGTGATATGAATAGTAGGAGAGTTAACGAGACTTATGAAGTATAACTTAAGTATAAGTTGATTAAATTAAAAGTCAGATAAAATAGAAGATAATAAAAATATATATAAAGGTTCAGTATATCTCGTTTACATAGGATGTGATGGAAAAAATTATATTCATCTTTTTACATCTGTATATCAGACTTTTATTTAGAAACAATTAGAATCTTAATTTCTGGAAAAACCATTTGTTTTTACCGTTTTTATACCTGGAAAAATATGATCAAAAATTAAATAATAATTAATTATAATTATGACGCATAAAATTTAATGTGACAGCTAAATATTAAATTACGTACCTCTCTTCAAATTTGACACGTGTTTGGAAACGAACCTTCTTGCGCTTCATTGGATCCTTAAGATCTTTAGGAGCCACTTTTTCTAACTGGAGATCCACTGTATATCTCGTTGGCATTAAATGATTATAATTTAAGATCTAAAATGTTTTATAAATAAATGAGAAGGTATAATAAAAAAATTAAAGATTGTGTATAGTGGAAAATATCAACTTATCCCCTTCAGATCCTGTATACATTATAATGTATATCTAATTTAAAGACATTATCCATTAAAATTGTTTAACTTTATTGACAGCTGATGTAGATCTAATATATATGTTGAAAGAATAAAAGTCAAAATTCTGAAAAAATTAATTGTTTGATATGAATTACTTATTAAAACACATGTAAAAGCTGAAGCGAATAAATTCTATTCTTCTACTTATTAAAGCACATATAAATTCAATTAAAAAAAAAAACTTTTTTAACATGGTTTTATTCAATATTCCAATAAAATCAGGTCTGAAGGGGTAAACTAAGATTTCCAAAAAGAATTCTGTGAGAATTGAGAAAACATACCTTAACGAAGGGCTTGATTTTAGATCGTTTATGCAGTTTACCCTTGCCCATCCTTTTGTGGACTTTGCGTGGATACCGGTCGATGCCTGCAACCATAGCATGTCCATACTGTTTTTCCGCTGTACCCTCATCATAATTACGCATGACAATGGCTTTTCTTCCTGCGTACCGGCCACTGAGGACCAGTACGACTTTTCCTATTTTCATAATCTTCACCATCTTGGTGTAGGCTGAAAAAGAAACAAGGTACATATAAACTACAAATTGTGACACTTACAAGATAAAAAATTTCAAACTCTAACATAACTAAGGATTATATTCTAGCGAGTTCTTTTATAGAACCGAAAATGTTAAGTTATTATTTCTCGTCTAAAGTAAATCGTAACGAGACAAATCCTTGCTGACAATGTAAACATCTTGAGATATTAAGCGTCATATAACCTCTCATGACAGACAAATTTTTAATGCAAGAAAAGAAAAAAGAACCAAAAGCATCGCGCTACATGGTGTGACATTCCAAAAAATAACGGAATCGCGAGAAACTGACAACTGAGTAACCGGTCGTTGTGGATCGCAAACGTGGAGCTCGAACAGAGAGGTTAACCCCGCGATTGTCTATCAGTAAATATCCTTCGAGGGCACATAGAATTAAATATTGACGTGTAAACGGAGACGGCATTGCACATTGATTATAAACGCGGCACGAAACGTAGTAGAAAAACCTTCAAAACATCCGATGCTTACGGATTAATGTGTACAGCAGTACGTATCACGCACCTCACGGCTTTTTCGTACCGTAGAAAAGGAAGTTGACCACATCATGGACTATATAAAACAACAGATGCGCTGCATTACATCCGCCGAGCTCGAACTTGACACACACGCAAACGCGTCCAATGTTGTCGACTATTGGCTGCCTTCAGCACAAAAAGCAGCTTTACAAATGTGCTTTAAAATTCTTAAACATGATTAGTTTATACGTCTAGATTCAATGAGAAACTAAAAGCAAGGTCAATCATATTAAAGAAATTTACACCAGTTGCAAAGCTGCTTTTTCCGCTGAACGCAGCCATTGAGCATTTCAAACGAAAATCTACAGATGCAACTCTTAGTTCTTCTATTTCTATGATTCCTATTTCCCCCATTCCCTTTCCTTTTCACTTTTATTCTTATCGTCGCACGTTGCTGTACGCACGTAATCGCGTGTTAAATACACGGTCTTCGTTATGTTCGACAAGCGGCGTGTTCGCCGCGGACTCTGATCTATCACCGCACCGGTCGTGTCCTTGCGGTAATCTGTATACCAATCTCATCGAAGATTTACCATATACTACCGCTCACATCGTTTTCCTCACAGTCCTCGCAGATCCTCCTTTTCCCTGCAGAGTAAAAACGTTAGCCTAGCACGATGGTGAAATATTATGAAAACATCACGGTCTTCAAGTTCGATTGGACGCAGGTCGTTCGAGGATTCTTTCAGAGATATCCGAATCCACACAGGTAATCGGACACGTTACATCACATGTGTCACTAAAATACAAATATTACATAACGTTATGCACTACTCATCAGAATTCATGTGCAACACGATTTCCAGTTTGCACGTTCTTACCGAGGATACGATCTCAAGAGAAGTTAAAAATGGGAAGCTCTACTCCACGCGATTATTGACGAAAACCAACAGAGTGCCCAAATGGGGTGAAAGATTTGTCAGTAAAAACATTGTCAAAATTGTGGAAGAAAGTATTGTTGATCCAGAAGCAAAGACTCTGACTACGTATACAAGGAATTTGGGATACACCAAAGTCATGGTAAGGTAGAAGACAAACTGACATTTATCATTTCATGAAAACATTTAAAGATCAATAATTTTGACATAGCAAACGATTGTAATTATCAACAATTGTATTCGATAATTAGGTTTTTAACAGAATTATAATTTCTTTCAGAGTATTGTTGAGAAAGTGGTTTATCATATCTCTGATGAAAATCCAGAATGGACAGTCGCAAAGAGATCGGCATGGATAGACAGTCAAGTCTTTGGTTTCAGCAGAGCGATTCAAGCCTTTGGCTTAGATCGGTTTAAAAAAAATTGCGCCAAAATGTCAGAGGGCTTCAATTACGTTCTCGCAAATATGTTTCCCCAAACACAGTTTCTAAATCCAAAACTGTCTCAGACGAGTTTCTCGGTGCAAGCTGGCCACAGCACTGTGGATGATGGCGTTACGATAAAGCCGAGCCTCGCGGAGGACTTGCAACATTCTTTACAGGGTAAAGCGGAGAAGGTCAAAGATGCCGCTAAAAAAGCCACGGATTTAGCAAAGGAAAAAGCAAGACCAATATATGCAGCCTGTCAACCAAATCAATCGTAAATTTACATATTCCACGAACGCAAAGCGCAAAACCGTATCAATTCTTATATTCAAGATCGTCTTAGTACAGTCTTAAGATGTCACGAACCAATCAAAAGCCGGTATTCATAGTCAGTTCTTATATTCAAGACGTCTTAAATTCAGTCTTGAAGAGTTACGAACCAATCAGAGGGCCGCTTTAGCATCTTAAGACATTACTTAAGACAATCTTGAAATAAGAACCGACTATGAATACTGGCCAAAGAGCTGCATTCGCGTCTTAAGACATTACTTAAGACAGTCTTCAAATAAGAACTGACTATGAATACCGGCCTTATGTTATTTAGTGATGAAAATATTCTTGAATATAACACCATATTATTGTGATGTATCTTGAACAAAATCTGATGTGGTAAAGCTTTAGAGACTAGTTCAAGAATACAGTTATTTGTATATTAATTAATAGGCACAGTTTAATGACACAGTGCAAAAAGGTTTAGAAAGTTGATTGATTAAATAACACATAAAATAAAACTTGAGAAGATTTGCTTAGCTTGATAGCACAAGATTCTCATTGTAACATTTACACACTTGTAAAATTTGCTAGAGTTTCTCGAGTCTGACCCACTTGTAATGTTACCATTCCTTTCAACTGCCAAATTGTTAAGCGTGCTATCAAATGATACATGCTAACATCAAAGATGCGCATTAAATTATTCATTTTTTACACGTAAAAATATTTCTATTTCTTTTACAATCGCAAAATGTTTCTCGTACATATATATATATATATGCAAAATATGCAAGAAGTATTCTGATGTGCTTATCAGTGTTATCAGCACTTATTCGCACTTATGCACATTTCGTGCATACCGCGCATACCTAAAGCTTGCAATTGACAATTGTAAAGAACAGCATTTCATACATAATTATTAATGCCAATGAAAACAATATTACGTATGTTAAAGATATACATTCAAACAGGTAGTTTTATGATAAAACCTTTTTTCTGTTAATGTAATAAATGTAGTTTTTACATATTTTGCGTCGGCACGTATAGTGTCAATTGACCAATTGCAATTGACCACTGCAAGTTATTTACTGAAGGACTTGATTCTATACATTATGAATGTATCATAATTTCAGTATAGTTGCCATACGTTACTAAAATGATTATAACTGTGATTTAAGATTGTTGTACAGTATTTCTATGTTTTAAATATGTTGTTTTGAATTGTTAAAAAGATTCAAATTATTAATGAATAAGTAACAATTTGGTAACTAAAATTAAATAAAATTTTCATAAGTGTAACTCCTGTTCTTACATGTACATATACTTAAATAAAGTTTCAATTCTGTAACCTTTTTAAATTACAAACCTCAATGATTAATAAATTTGATATACTTATGACCTTTGTGCAATCGAATCGCACAACACGCAGCATGAAATACGAAAGGCGAGTAATGTTATATATATTACTACGGAAATTGCAAACGTAGTTATAAGAAGTCATTCAAGCAACACTCATGCCGTACTCATAATCGTAAATAGAAGACATAGAATCACAGCACGTCGTATATAATCTTGCAAAAATCGCAAATTTAATTAGAAAGTTTCCATCGACACTCGTATCTATGTTATACTTTATAATGCATACTGCTTTGAATTTTTTGTTTATCGCTGTATACATATACATACACTATATAGCGTGCGTGCGTTTATATATAGGGAAAACTAATGCAACACTGGTATACATACAATTAAATACAAATCGATTTTAATGTAAATAATAATAATTTTATCCATTTAAATGGTCACGACACAAAGAATATAGTTCGTATTTAGAACACGTTTTTATTGATAAAAGCGCGCTTTTATCTTTGAAATTCTATAGTATGCGTTAATCATACTAGCGATTGCGCGATTGTGATTGACGATTGAGGATTATTTCTCAACCAATCGGAACAAAGCAATCGGTGACTGCTTTGCTCCGATTGGTTGAGAAATAATCGTCAATCACAATCGCTCAATCGCTAGTGTAATTACGGCTTAACGTAAGTGAGCCGATTCACCATTTCCGATTAATAATATGAAAATAAATTGAGTTTAGAAAAACAGACTGTTATTTTATTTAACAAATAAAAAAATTAGTGCTAATAAATGAAACTGTCAGAAATATAATTTTAAGCAATTGTAATTAAATTAAACACTAAAATTAAGCTAGAGTTTGATTAAAACAATCACCCAAAGAATCATAACATTTGTAAAAAAAAAAAAAAAAATATAACCATGCGAATCGACCAATCAATCGAAAGTTCAAAATCGTCTTTACGTTTTCATTAATTCTCGACTATGATTGGTCGGATTCGCTTATTGTTCGAGCAAATTGTGCTGTTCATATTTTTCCATATGCTATTCTCCCAAATCCCTTTATTTTGAGTTCTATTAGTTAGAAATGCATTTCATATCATCTTGTCTCATGTAACATGTTTATACCAATTGTGGCTAAGTTCACGTCTATTCGACCGATTATATATACTTGCACGGCGGCCATGTTTAGAATGTGACTACCAACCATCGCGTTGTGCGAATCAAGTTATTTTCTGACATTTATTTAAATTTCTATCCGCAAAACAGACATTTGCGATATCGTAAGTTCATAGCGCGCCTGTGTCGGGAGAATTCCGCTGTATATAATTAATACCGCACACTACTGTACCATCGATAAGGTGTTCTTCGGCTGCGATGGACGTGCCCCCAGTGAATCCACAGCCAACTTCAGAGGCGTGTCATGTTTGCGCTCGGCGCGTTGCATCGTGATCGAAATTGTCGCGTTTCGTCATCGGGACTCTATGAAAGATGCTGTCGCTAGGCCCGAAAAAGGACGGCGGACCCAACGCCAAGTTCTTCGAGGCGCCTGAAGTTCTTACTCAGCTTGATGGAGTTAAACAGTGGTTGCTCAAGAACTGCAAGAAGGTACGCTCGTTCATGCGAACATGGATACCAGCCGGCGTCGTAAACTCGTTGCGGTACCTCCGTGCGGCTTCGCTTCCTCTTTCGCGACACACATTATCGCCGATCACAATTTTTCACATCGATAATATGCATTCTTTAGAGATATAATTCTTGAGGAAATAAATTATACCAAGATTCTCGAAATGCCCTAATATACTTTGCAGCATTGACGCGGATGCGAAATCATCTTGATGACTGTACATATTCGTGAAATTTATTACTGTTTATAACTGTTTATTTATTGCTTGTTATGTATATATATGCATATTTATATATATGAAATCAGTAATCATATACATTTTTAATAAATATACTAATTATTTAATTTATATTACTTTCACTCTACACACACACACACACACACACACACACACATATCAAAGTATGTGTATGTATATATATATATATATAAAACTTTAGATGAAAGTAATAAATGAGAAACCAACAAACTGTATACTTGATGACATAAAAGAATAGTATTTATATACAAATTTTTATATTAATTTTTAGTATTAACAATATGAAGTTTTCTGTAAGACTGTTACGTGACTACATAATAATTAAGGAATAAAGATTAAATGGTCAAACCAGATCTTTAGTGCTGAAATAATTCTATGTGAATTTATATACTACATATATATAATTTTTTATAAAATCATGAACTGAAAATATTTTTTATTTTGAAACACAGTCTAATTGAACTACCATAGTAATATCACAAATTAAATTGACAAGCAATTTAATTTGACGCTCAATCAGGCAGATTATTAAAAAGATATTAATATGTTAAAAAATTTCTCAGTATTAAATTATGTATTTCATAATTTTTTAAATGATTCTTTATTAGTATGTACAAACGGATCCGCCCACTAATAAGAGCTTAGCTACGTTGCTGGTACAGATTCTGCAGTTTCAAGAGGACAATCTTGGCAAAAATGTATCAAAGCCACCTATGACGAGGCTTCCAGTATGTAAAATACATATATTATGCAACTGATAAAAAATGTACCTAAATTAATTATTGATGAGTTTAATTTTTACAGATGAAATGCTTCCTGGATTTTAAGTCTGGTGGTGGTGTATGTCACATTTTAGCTACTGCTTATCGTTTTAAGCAAGAACAAGGCTGGAGGCGTTTCGATTTTCCTGGTGGAAAAGTAATTATTTAATACTTCTTCTATATATATTTCTTTTGCAGAGAAATATCTTTTTTTTTTATATCGATATTTTTATCTATAAAGATTGCATAAACATGAAGCTTTTCATTGATTAGTTAATTATTATTATTATTACAGTCAAGTTCTCGTATGGATCGTACAGTAGACATGTTGATGGCAGCGGAACGTGCTTTAATACAGAATAGATGTATGACTGTACCAAGTATTTTCGTGAGACCGGATGTTGACAAAAATACAGCTGCAAAAGTAAAAGATGTAGTTAGAAAGCACCAAGGCACTGTCGTGGAGAATGAGGCAGATGCTACACACATTATCTATCCTCTAGTAGATCCAATGGAAGAGGAATACGCACGACCTTGTATGAGACGCGAACGATCGGTTCTAATTCATTGGTACTACTTTCCAGACAGCTATGATTCCTGGTCAACATTGGATCTTCCATGGGATTATCCTGAAGGAACTTATACAAACACAAATTCAAGGTGCTTAAACATTAATAATCTTTTAATGTAAATATATTATAACCAGTGAAAATCTCTCTTTTACTCACTCATTCACGATTATCGTTGAAATTAATAGTTGAAATTAATTAATAAGGTAATTTGGGGGAAGACGCCACACTCAAGGCTTTATTCTTATATTACTTAATGTTATTGTACTAATCAACGAAAAAATATTTATATTCTAGAAACCTTTCTTTATTCATACAAATTTACAAATTAAACTTTTGATATTTTGTATTATTGGAACAAAATTGATATGTCATGTCCTGCAAAAGTGACATCTTTCCTCTCTCTCTCTCTATATATATATATATATATAGATAAAATGCCACCTAAGAATATATCACAAGCAATTAAGTAATATAATACAATATAAACATGCATATTTTACATATTTACAATTAAGAGTTTCAGATC